AGACAGGAGCCACTGGTGCATGGCTCTTTTTCTTTTTTTCCAAGCCTGAGGCTTGAACACTGGGCCTGGGTACTGACCCTGATTTTATTTTGCTCAAACCACTTCTGGTTTTTCCGAATAGTTTATTGGAGATGAGAGTCTCACCGACTTTCCTGACCTGGTTGGCTTCAAACTGTGGTTCTCATATCTCAGCCTCCTGTGTTACTAGAATTCTAGGTTCCCAGCTGAGGAGGTATTTTAAAGAAAACTTTGAAAATAAAGTACATTCAAAGAAGAGTGCACAGGGATGGACATGGTAGAATATGCCTATAATCTCAGCTACTTGGGAGGCAGTGATAGAAAGATTTCAATTCAAGGCAAACTCCAGGAAAAAAGTTCAAGATCTCTATCTCAATTTAAAAAAAAAACAAACTGAGTGTGGTGGTTCATACCAGTTCTCAGCTAGGCAGGAGACATAGGAGGATCATACATAATCTAAGTTTGCCTGGGCAATAAATAAGAGATCCTATCTGAAAAAGAACTACAGCAAAATAGAGCTGAAGGTGTGGTTCAAGTGGTAAAGTGCCTGTCTAGCAAGTCAAGCTCATACCTAGTACTGCCCCAAGATATAAAGAAAATATTCAAAGTGTGCTGCCTCCAGTATATGTGTACATATATATACATATATATAAGCTTATATATATATATATATATATATTAGCTTTCTTCAGATCAAAACATGGAAATTTCCAAAAGTCTCATTCATGTCCTCTGATTTGCTCTCCCCAAAAAGCATCCACTCTCCTCACTTCTAACTCTAGAGGTTAGTTTTGTCAGCTTTTAACTTTATGTAATGGGGTCATTCTTTTGTTTCTTAATATGGATAAGATGTATCCATATTATTACAGAGATCTGGTCCTTTTCATTGCCCTAAAGTATTCCCTTGTGTATTCATAGCAACTTTATTCCTATTACTGATGGCACTGGGATTGCTTCCATTTTCCTTTTGTGAACATACTTGCTATAGCATTCTTGTGCATGTCATGTAAAATTATTTAAATATTTATCTTCCTTTATGTTATATTTAGAGCTTTTTATTTTTCCTGTCCTGGGGCTTGAACTCAGGGCCTGGGTGCTGTCCCTGAGCTTTTGCTAGTGCTCCATTAATTGAGTCACAACTCTAAATCATTGGAGATAAAAATTCTATGGACTTTCCTTCTTGGACTGGTTTCCAACTGTGATCCTCTGATCTCAGCCTCCTGAGTAGCTAGGATTAAAGGCATGAGCCACCAGGACCCAGCCTATTTAGAGCTTTTTAAAGATCACATATACCAATCAATTTATTTCAAGTAGTAGAGCAAGAATTACAAAGTATTCGTTTAATAGGGTAAAGCATTAATGGCTGATGATTATTGTGGCTAAACCAAAGGTGGTAAGTACATATAATGGAATATCTATCTTTCAGCCTTAAAAAGGAAGGAAATCTTTTCATGTGTGTACATTTGAGGAAATTTGTGCCAAATGAAATAAAATAGACAAAAAAATACAAATACTGTAGGATTCTATCTGTATCTGGCATCCGAAGCTGTGAGATTCATAGAAACAGGGCCTACGTGCTGTCCTTGAGCGTTTGTGTACAAGGCTAGCGCTCTACTACTTGACTTGCAGTGCCCCTTTCAGTTTTGTGGTGGTTAATTGGAGATAAGAGTCTCCTGGGTGTCTTGCCCAAGCTGCTTTAGAGCCACAATACTCAGATCTCAGGCTCCTGAGGAGCTAGGATTACAGGCATGAGCCACCAGAGCCCTGCAAATCTTTTTTTTTTTAATTTTACTTTAAATTTTTGTTTTTTTTTTTTTACGTTTAAGCAGTTGCACCAAGGTTTCGATTCAACATGTCAGTTTATGAGAACAATGCATTTTGATCAATGTCACCCCTTCCATCATTCTTCCCCACCTCTCCCAAACCTCAATGGGATTATTCCTATTGAATTATTAAGAAATGGGCAGTAAATTCCGTGGAAGAAAATAAAAAAGGCCTGAAGAGTGCACAGCCCAGTCCCCCTTTCCCCGGGCCCACAGGCATCTCACTCCAAGGGGTCTGCGTTAGCAGCCTGTCCAGGCAGCCCTCATTCCCGCTGGCTTTCCCACTGTAAGGCGCACCCTGGGGGAGGGGGGGCGCCGTGGGCGTGTCTCATGGGCGTGTCTGCAACAGGACACGCCCACCAGAGGTCCCTTCTCCCCGCCCCCGCAGACGCGCGCACGCCCACGCTGGACCCGGACACGATGCACGCACGCCTGCGCCTCTCGGCCGACGGGCTGGTGGTGCGCAGCGGCCTCCTGGGCCGCCTGGGGCCGGCGCCCGCCACGCGCTTCGATGAACTCTGGCAGGTGCTGAGTCGCGACTGCTTCGCCGCCGGCCGCCACTACTGGGAGGTGGACGTGCAGGAGGCCGGCCTGGGCTGGTGGGTGGGCGCGGCCTACCCGTCCCTGCGGCGCCGCGGGGCCTCGGCCGCCGCCCGCCTGGGCTGCAACCGCCAGTCGTGGTGCCTCAAGCGCTACGACCTGGAGTACTGGGCCTTCCACGATGGCCAGCGCAGCCGCCTGCGGCCCCGCGACGACCCCGACCGGATCGGCGTCTTCCTGGACTACGAGGCCGGCATCCTGGCCTTCTACGACGTGACGGGCGGCATGAGCCACCTGCACACCTTCCACGCCGCCTTCCAGGAGCCGATCCACCCGGCCCTGCGGCTCTGGGAGGGGGCCCTCCGCGTCCCCCGGCTCCCCTAGACGACGCCCGCGGGGGGGGGGTCCCTGCGGCACGGGGGGGGGCGGTAAACGTGTCCTAAACCCATCCCCAGCAGGTACTAGTGACGGAGTCGCCTGCCAGTGGCTCTTCTCTTCCTTGAGGTCCCCTTTATCTACCGCCTTCCTGATCTGGACGTCCCCCCCATCTTCACCTTCTATCCGGAAATCAGGGTGACCTGCCCCAGACTACGCAGGACCCTGGTGAGGCTCCTCCCCCAGAGCCAACGAAAAACTCACTCTCCTTTAGCATTCAAGACCCGTCTAGTCTGCGCTCCAGCCCCGTGCCTTTTCAGAGGCCCTCCAATGACACTGCCCCAATTTCCCCTCTGCACTTTTGTGCATTTTTTTCTACTTTTTTTCCATTTTTTTTCTCGTCAGGAAAACCCTGCCCACTCTTTGCCTGTCTCAGGTGCTCCCTGGATTTCCGGCTGCGGGACAGCTTCCCAGGCCACAGGAATCTGATGTTTCCTAAGACCTCAGAGATTTACCCTACTTGACCTCATGGCATGTTTGGAAAACTGAAGTTCTAAGAGCTGCCTTAAATTACCCATATTGATTCAGGGCTGGACTAGGCCTGAAGCCCACATCGGTGCCTTATCCTCCACCCCTACAACGGCCAAGAATCTGACCCGATCTTTGCCCTGCCTTTGGGGCCCAGTTTGTAACCTGGGAGATGACTGGTTTTGAGGCGTTGGGAAGGAATCAGCAGTGATGTTGCTAAGTTTTACCCAAGCTCCTTGAGACAAAAAAAAAAAAAAAGAATGGCTGTCAGAGGGGTTGGATAGCTCCAATCCCTGAAACCAGGCTGAGGCAACCCAGAAAGATGTTTTCTTGAATAAAGTGATGGGAAAAGAAGCTAAGAGTTCCACTCTTAGGGAGAAAAAGCTTCTTCCCAGGGTCTGTACCTGTTGGGGAGGATTAAGCATTCTGACCTGTCAGCTCCTTAGACAGGTGTATATTTGGCTACACAGCCTAAGTAGAATACAAAGCAGAAGGGACTAAAGTGCCTTAGTTCTAACCACACAAACTCTACTTGAGTAGACATCTAAGCATCCACCAGGCTCTAGGCATCCTGAGAAGGAAAAACTACTGGGAATGGCCCAAAGCTGAATTCTGAAAGGCAGAGGATATTCCTGACAGAGGGGAATAAGCACTTGATTCTACATCCACTCACCTCCAGAAACCCAAGGCCTTTCCCTCAGACCCACAACTGCAGAGGCCAAGTCTGATAGCTCTGACTACTGTCAGGTGATGCCCTGTGTAACCCTACAATTACATTCACTCGATCGGTATCCCTAGCAGGTAGGAATCACTCCCATTCTACTCATGGCAGAATGAAGACGGAACAAGCCACTTGCCCAAGGCCACACAGTTAACCTGCTCCTGTCTCCGGGCCCTGCTGTTAATTCTGATAGCCACATGCTCCTGTCCCCCTCACTGAGTCACAGCCTCTGATGCTTTGCTTTCGCCTGGTTACTCTGTGCAGCCTGGTTCTACCTGTTGATTTCCCCTCTGAGTTCTGAGATGAGGCCTCATACCCCAAGGGAGATGTAGTGTGAGAATCTGGGATTTATGCAGGGAAGATAGATGATAACTGGACTGAAGAACAATTAAATTGGCTCTAAGTCAGTGTCTGTGCTAGCCAGAAAACTAGTTGCAGTCTATAATTGGGCTTGCTCTCTACTTCCGCAACCTCATCTGCAAGACAGGGGTAAAAGCTCCAATTTACCAGGGCTGATGCTCAAATGAACCAAAGGCTACACAGCCTTTACAGGACATATGAGGTCCTCCAACAGAGTTCCCCTTGCACCCTGACACAGCCTGCAGCTGTGTGCCAGCAGGGGGCACTCCGTATTCCCAAAGCAGAAAAGAAGTTTCCTTGGCATCCAAGTCATGTCATTGTGATGTCATTGTGCCTTTACAAGTGTTGTGCTGGTCAAAGTTTCCTCATTGATACAGCAAATCACTTGCAGTTTTTCCCTCTGTGATGCTAGGCCTCAAACCACACTGGACAAGCACTTCTACCACTGAGCTGTCTCCCAGCCCCAGCAGGCTTTTCAAATAACAGTAATTTCCTAGTGTATTGTCTTAATGAGCACTATCCTTGTAACTGTTCTTGATTCACAGTTTATGTGACTTGAATAAAATACATAGTACCCAAGAACTGGACAACTTCCATATTCTTCACCAGTTTTCTTGTGGCAGAAGGCTGGTCCCTGAAGAAAGCCCACTATGCCTTTTCTTCCAAGGAAGCAAACCCTGACTCCTGACTGTTCCTACTCAGAAAAGAATTATGTAGCTTTTAGCATCTTTCTGGCTACCCTTTATTTTTGTGCCAGTCCTTGGAGATTGGACTCAGGACACTGACCCTGAGCTTTTGTGTTCAAGGCTAGCACTTTACAACTTGAGCCACAGCTCCACTTCTGGCTTTTTGGTGGTTAAGTGGAGTCTCATGAACTTTACTGCCCATGCTGGCTTCAAACCACGATTTCAGATCTCAGCCTCCTGAGTAGCTAAGATTACAGGCGTGAGTCACCAGCACTTGGCCTGGCTCTCCTTTAGCACCACTGAAGCTGACTGTAGTGGTAGTCCTTGAGTTTCCCCCCCCATGGCATTGGCTCTTCTGCCTGCAGATGCACTCTGTCAGGCACAGCTGAGCAGAGGACACAGGCATCCTGAGTGGAGTTGTGAAGGCAGCCTGCTCAGCACAATAAGCTGCATCTGATAGGGAGACAGCAGGAGAGTGGATGCTCCTGGTCCTGTTTGCCCATAGATCAGCCTCACACAGCAGAACTTCTTCCCCACGTGCTCTCCTGCCAAACAATCACTTCCTAGTCCTCAGACACTTGACGCTTCCCAAGTTGTGCATAGTCCCTCCCTGGTTCTCTGGTAACTTACATGCCTCTTCTAGGAAGTGGTATCTGGCCATTATCCTTCTTCCATCCTTTCCCATCCTTCTCCCGTGACCCTTTTGAACATCTCAGCAACCCACACGTGGGGCATCATAGGCCAGTCTGCTGCCTTGCCATGGGTCGGGCACTGTGTCTCCCATCTGGCAGGCACTCAGCCATGTCTTCTAGACCTCGCTTCCCAACTTGACCTGGTGAGAGGAGTGCCCAAGTGTCAATCCTTCAGCCCTTGGGGTAACTTAGGGAAGCAGGAGGAATCTTCTAACCCAGCTGTTACTGGCTGCGGGCAGCCCAGTGATTCACCCATACCACACACCACACTGTCGCCATCATCGTATTTTGCCCTATGCCCTGATGAGAAGTGTAGACAGTGGCCCTCCATCTCCTCCAGGCCTGTGACCTCAGGGCCCCTCCAGTGCTTAGCACCACTGATTCCGCTCCTTAGGGGAATGCAGCTTGGAGTTCACAGAGCAGCCTGGGCCTGTCTGCCAGAACTTAAGAGATGACTGCCCACCCCACCCTCACGGCCCCCAGCTCCCTGCAGGAAATCAACTGTACATCCTTGGCTAGCACCTAGGCTCTTCTTTCCAGACCCAGGCCTGGCGCAGCACCCCTTAATACTAGCCAATTCTCTTTTGATTAAGCATTTGCTTAACTGTCACTCTACAGCTGTAGAAAATCAAGAATGGGTTGCTTACTGAGCAGCTGCTTATAGAGAGAAAAGTGAGGAACGCCAGTCATGAACTGAAGTCTCACACCTCAGTTCTTAGCATACCAATTCACAGGTTTTTCTCTGCAAACAACCAAGGATCCTGCCTCTCCCCCCCCCCCCCCCCCCCCCACATACACACTCACACATCTACACATACCTCTCCAGAAGTTGTTTTGGGATCTACAGGAGAGGGAGGCCCTACACTAACAAGGCTAATTATATTAGAGACACAAATAGCCACTGAAATAAGAGGAGTCATGTAGTAAATGCACTCACATATGAACAAAGATTAGGAATCGGGCTGGGAAGGTGGCTCAGTGGTAGAGCGCTTGCCTTGCATGCATGAGGCCCTGGGTTTGGTTCCTCAGCATCACATAAGCAGAAAAAGCTGGAAGTGGCACTGTGGCTCAAGTGGTAGAGCACTAGCCTTGAGCTGAGCTGAGGGACAGTGCCCAGGCCCAGAGTTCAGGCCCCACAACCGGCAAAAAAAAAAGATTAGGAATCTGAAAAGATACATGAAAATAATTTCAGCATTGGGCAAGAGCATAAAGGAAAATATGACATTGATGCTAAAAGGTACATGGTATTTGTTCCGTTGTTTTTTTTTTCTGTCGGTTGTGGGGCTTGAACTCTGGGCCTGGGCACTGTTCCTGAGGTCTTAAACTCAAGGCTAGCACTCTACCACTTGAGCCACAGTGCCACGTCCGGTTTTCTGCTAGTTAATTGGAGATAAGAGTCTCATAGATTTTCCTGCCTAGGCTGGCTTTGAACTGTGATCCTCAGATCGTAGCCTCCGAGTTTCTGTGATTAATTAATCTCAGGATAAGGAAAGCCCATGAGACTTATCTCCAGTTAACTGCCAAAATGCTGGAAGTGGAGCTGTGGCTTATGTGGTAGAACATTAGCCTTGGGCAAAAGAAGCTGAGGGACAGTACCCAGGCCCTGAGTTCAAACCCCAGGACTGGCAAAAATAAAATCTTGTATATTAGCTGGGTTTGTAATTTTATATGTGTGTGCATAACAGTACTGGGGCTTGAATATAGGGCAGCATGTTCTCATTTGGCTTTTCTGCTTAAGGTTGGTGCTCTACCACTTGAGTCACATCTCCAGTTCCAATTTTTTGGTAGTAAGTTGGACAGAAGAGTCTCACAGATTTTTCTGCTTGGGCTGGCTTTGAAACTTGAGCCTCTCATCTTCCCAAGTAGCTAGGATTACAGACATGAGCCAACAGCCCCTGGCTAGATTTGTAATTTATATACCTTTTTCTTTTTTAATTTGGTACCAGTCCTAGGACTTAAACTCAGGACCTAGGCACTGTCCCTGAGCTTTTATTGCCCAAGACTAGTGCTCTATCACGAGCCACAGCTCCACATCTGACTTTTTTGGAGTGCTTACTTGGAAATAAGAGTCCTACTCACTTTCCTGCCCAGGCTGGCTTTGAACCATGCATGACTCTCAGATCTTAGCCTCCTGGGTAACTAGAATTACAGGCATGAGCCGCCTGCACCTGCTTTGGATTTGTAATTTCATAGTGGGCAATGTAACATTCTGTTCACTTCAGCATCACCCTCCGATTTGCCACTTGCAAGCTCCAAAACCCATGCTGCTGTCCTTTCCCACTGATCGGTTTTCTTTGCTACTGAACACATCCCTTCTCATATACTGATGCCAGGTTTCCTCACCAGGCCGTGGTATCCTCAGAGCCTGCCCAGCGGAGGGAAGTCCCACAAGCAAGGGACAAGGCTGCTCACCGCAGTGTCCAGGCGCAGAGGCCCTGGGAGTGTGCTGAGAAGCGGAGGAGTGCTCCCTCCCTCCTCCCTGTTCTCAGGGATAGGAGTGCTTTCCTCAGCCCACACAACAGTATGACCAATCCCTTCTCTAACACCCAGGACCACCACAGAGTGTTCCCATACGGAGTCCAGGGCCGGGAGGAGCGGTGAGGGCGAGAGGAGGGGCAGCTGGCGGGGAGAGTGAGACTGCAGGTCATTTAGTCTGGCTGCAGAGAGAAGGCTCAGAGACAAGCCAGCTCTTGTCCCTGTGGGCCACAAGGAAATACAGGATCTGGATTTGCTTTGAGCCCACCTCACTCTAGGCCAGCCAACTTGGAGCAGAATTTGTGTCATTTACCCTTTTTCTTTCCAGTGGGCTGGGCCCAGGGCCTGGACAGAAATGACTCGTGTGTGTGTATGTGTGTATGTATGTGTGTGTGTGAACAACATACAACAGCCATGTTTCCAGAGACGATGACTCCTGCCCCACCTCACCCAACACACTGGACAGTAGCAGCAAGGTGACTGAAAATTCAGAGGATCGCACTTTATTTTAAGACTTGATTTTCTTGCCATGATTTTCTACTGATTCTTCCAGGATAGTATCATCTTCTTCAACAGTGACCAGAACCTTCTTGCCCACCAGATTAAAGATATCCTCAGGAGGATAGCCTTTGGGCTCGCCCACCTTCACTGTGAGCATGTCCAGGGTTAGAACGGTGCCTTCTGGGATTTTCACCTTGGCCACCACAGACTTGCCCAGCTGTGGACAAGATGGAGACGGTCAAACTCATAGCAGTAGCTCCTTTGTACTGCTTCACACCCAAGCTCTTTGCTCAATTTCCGCAGGAACCATGACAGACAGAAAAGACGCTTGTTTCTTACTCAGAACACCACCTGATATACACAAGGCCTCAGACAATATGCGGTGACCACTCAGACCTGGAGGAGGTGACTGCCCAGGAAGTGTGAACTCAGGAGATGTAGCCAAACAGAGCCAGGCTCAATCGCTGCCAGCGGGGGTAAATGCCTTGTCAAATGGGAAACATCAGTGCCTGTAGCTTGTCAGATGACTGTGCAGATGAGTGACAACTCATGACATTTCTGGAACAGCATGCTCTTAATACAGGATTACTTCCGAACTCTCACCATAAATATGGGGAAAGTGAGGCCCAAAGAAGGCAGGTGAGTTGGCCAAGGTGACAGACAGCAAGGGTGAGAACTGAGGACGCCATTCCTGGCCCACAGCCCTTGAGGGATCTTCAAAGAAAGGCCATTTTGTTTGGTAAAATAGAGCTACAGAGGACACAGTCACTGAAAGCAACTGTGATGCAGATTACAGGACAAGCGGAGGACAACGAAGTGACATAAAGTTCACCAGCAGTGTTTCTGCTTCTTCATGTCACATAGTTTTTATTTGGTACTACTGGCGTTTTGAACTCAGGGCCTTACAATCTCACTCCACGTTCTTGCTCATGGCTGGTGCTCTACCACTTGAGCCAGGCCTCCAATCCTGCTTATTTGCTGGTAAAATGGAGATGGAGACTCAGACTCTTCTGCCTGGGCTGGCTTTGAGCCTTCGTCCTCTTGAGTAGCTAGGATTACCGATGTGAGCTACTAGTGCCCAATTCTTTAAATATTTTGAGTCCTACATCCCTCCCTCTAGGAGCCCAAGAAATCACTTCTGCTTAGAATTTAGTGTCAGGAGAAAAGGCACATCAACAGATGATTCAAGTTATACATCCTGTTGTATTTCAGTGTTTGCTCAAAAAGCCAAAACACAAGTTCAACTGCTGTGCCTCCTACTCCAGGGTCTCTCCTCTTCCTCTGTAAGGCATCTTGTTTCTACCTACTTCCAACTGCACTTCTACTTTGGAAGTGACATAATAATAGAAGTGGGGACTGGGAAGGTGGCTCAGTGGTAGAGCGCTTGCCTTGCATGCCTGAGGCCCTGGGTTCGATTCCTCAGCACCACATAAGCAAAAAGAAAAAAGCCAGAAGTGGCGCTGTGGCTCAAATGGTAGAGCGCTAGGTTTGAGCTGAAGAGCTGAGGGACAGCGCCCAGGCCCAGAGTTCAGGCCCCACGACCAGACACACACACACAAAAAAAATAGAAGTGATAACACTCTCCATGTGTGAATGGCATTTGACCTTTGCCCTGACCCAGACAGCCTGCCATGGTAGGATCCAGTGCCTCAGTGTTTAGGAATTCTGCTGACTCTCCTCCTAATGCTCAGGGCTTCCTTATCCAAGGGACCCCATGCTTGGCACACCCCAGGATTATCCCCCTTACTTCTCCTGTAGTCCAGGAGCCCTGGCACCCCATGCTTCAGAGACCTGGTAAAAACTTGAATGTGACCTGATGTGGCATTGAAACAGGCAGTTCCTCCGCTGCTCCCAAGAGCGGGCTGACACTCGGAGGGGGTGATCGGCTCCCCAGCCTCTCCTGGGCCTACCTCAGGGAGGATCTGCAAGGAGTCCTCCTCTCAGGCAGGGGCGCTGTGCTCCCCCTCCCTCTCCAGAGCCCAGCAGAGCCTGGCGGCACCCACCTTCTCATTGCAGGCCATCTCACAGGGCAGCAGTTGCTTGCTTGGAGAGCCGAGTGCCCTCTCCACAAGGCGCACAGACCGCACTAGCTCGGCCAGCTCTCCAGGCTCCAGTGAGGCTGAATGGTCACTTCCCTTCCAGGTCTTATCCAGAGTTATGTGACGTTCCAGCACCTTGGCTCCCAGAGCCACAGCAGCCACAGATATTGCTATGCCCGTCTCGTGCCCAGAATACCCTATGGGGATATCAGGGAAAAGCTTCTGATACTCCTTTAAAATAGAAAAAGGGATAAAGGTTACCTACTTGGGTGCCTTACCCACAGTTTTCAAGTTAGGCAATGCTGGGCGTCAGTTCAGCCTCTCACTAGCTGCACAACAAGACACTGGGACTCTCCGAGCCCTCCACTGGAGATGGCGGTGCATGTCGGATGGACACCCAGCACACCGTGAAAGCGCTGAAAGAATGGTCACTGCTGTTGTGAAGAATGCAGCTCGCGCCTGTCACCCCAGCTACTCAGGAGGCCGAGCTCTGAGAATTGTGGTTCAAAGCCAACCTGGGCAGGAAAGCCCATGAGACTCTTATCTCCAGTTAACCACCAAAAAGCCAGAAGTGGAGCTGTGGCTCTGGTGGCTTGCCAGCAAAAATCTAAGGGAGAGTATGAGGTCCTGAATTCAAGCTCTTGTACCAGCACAAAAAAAAAAAAAAAAGGAAAGAAAAGAAAAAAGAATGCATTTGGTGAATGTTTTACTCTGCACAGACTGCTGGAAATAATATCGTAACTAAAACTGAAAGCCTAAACCCATTCAAAAAGCACTTGTCACACAATTAGCCTGAGCTGTTAAAACCAAGCATGCTTCTATGCACAGATACCTTCAATTATATACACAGCCTGCCCAATCCCAACACAACCCATTGGAAGAAAAGTTGAATAATTAACGAATCAATTATCTATAATTCACTGGCTGCAACAATAGACATTCTAAGATGGGTGGGTCTTGTCAGTAAGGGTGAACAAAAGCTTAAGTACAGCAGAAAGACTCAGATAAGGATTAAGAAAAAAACCCAGGGCAGTTGGAAAGCCCTAGGTCAGGAGATGCGAGTTGCTATGATGCAGGTGGGCTGGGCCCCTGATGGTGGGCTGGCAAAGTACATCTGGCCACATCCATCAGGAGCGGAGGATGGAGGGGAGAGGGTGTCTGTGACATATTAAGTAAGAGAATCAGGGAAAATATCTGGGATCCCAGGTACAAAATTGTTAAGATGTGAGTCTGTGGGGTGTATTCACATTCGGCAGCACAGACTTCAGAATTAAGAATCATGCAACCACACACCAGTGGGCTCAGGCCTATAATCCTCGCTACTCAGGAGACAGAGATCTGAGGATCATGGCTTGAAGCCAGCCCAGGCAGAAAAGTCCACAAGATTCTATTTCCAACTGACAAGCAAAAATGTTGCACTAGGGCAGTGGAGCACACTGGACATTGATGAAAGTGAACTACACAACTCGAAGGTGGAAACGGGAGGGAGGGACTAGGAGAGAGTGAGGGAACAGAGACACAAAAGGAAACTCATGTAAATGTAAACTCTCCACACATCACCTCTAGGATAATAATAAAGTAAATTTTTAAAAAATAGTGCACTGGAGGTATAACTCAAATGGTAGAATTCTAACTATAAATGAAAAAGCTGATCAAGGGCTGGGAAGGTGACTCAGTGGTAGAGCGCTTGCCTTGCATGCATGAGACCCTGGGTTCGATTCCTCAGCAACACATAAGCAGAAAATGTCAGAAGTGGGGCTGATGCTCAAGTGGTAGTGGTAGAGTGCTAGCCTTCAGCTGAAGAGCTGGGGGACAGCGCCCAGGGCCAGAGTTCAGGCCCCACGACCGACCGAAAAAAAAGAAAAAAGAAAAAGCTGATCAAGAACTCAAGGCCCTGGGCTGGGAAGGTAGCTCAGTGGTAGAGCGCTTGCCTTGCATGCCTGAGGCCCTGGGTTCGATTCCTCAGCACCACATAAGCAAAAAGAAAAAAGCCGGAAGTGGCGCTGTGGCTCAAGTGGTAGAGCGCTAGCCTTGAGCTGAAGAGCTGATGGACAGCGCCCAGGCCCAGAGTTCAGGCCCCACGACCAGACCCCCCTCCCCAAAAAAAGAACTCAAGGCCCTAAATTCAAGCCCTAATACTGGTCAAAAAAAAAAGGGTCCCCATGGAAGAATAATATTGAAAGATAAATAAATTCCTCTCATATAATACCTAGAGTATAGAGTACCTATAGATTTTCCTCATAGGTACCTAGAATAGTCAAATTCCTAGAGACTAAAGTGCTTGGTGTTCTGCTGACGTGGGGAGGGGAGGGAGTTGGTGAAGGGATCTAAGGTTCAGTTTCAGGTAATGCGGTAGTCTGTATGGGTAAGGGATGGTTGTACAATGTGAACGGACTTACTGCCACCTAACTAACTTAAAATGATTAAAAGGCTAAATCATATGTATATTTTTACAACTTAAAAAAAAAAATAGGGCACGAGTGGTTCACGCCTGTCATCCTAGCTACTCAGGAGCCTGAGATCTGAGGTTCTCAGTTCAAAGCCAGCCCAGACAGGAAAGTCCGTGAGACTCTCATCTCTAATTAACCACTAGAAAACTAAAGTGGTGCTGTGGCTCAAAGTGGTAGAGTGCTAGCCTTGAGCTGAAGAGCACAGGGACAGCACTTAGACTTGGAGTTCAAGCCTCACGACCAACAACAACAATAAAAGGCACTACACCAAGAAGGATATGAGCCATCAACTCACAGGAGACTGACCTTTGAAGGCCAACACACAAGCAAGCAAAAAGTCCATAAAGAACCACGGGAGTCCACTTTCAACTTATAATGGCAGAAACCAGGAGGTGTTAAGAGCTAAGTTATAGTCCCCCTCTTTAGAATATACATGCTTTCAGCTGCTTGGTTCTAACTTGATTTAATAACAGCAAGACCATCCACAGCTAATTCAACTATAAAAGAGGCTATGGTTGATTAGAATGCTGGTTATAAAGAAGGCTAGAGCTGGTGTGGAGCGCTTGCCTACCCAAACCCTCAGTTCCATCTCTGGACATTGAAAACACACAGACAAATAAACAAAGCAAAGCAGGCCCTATCTTTCCCACAGCTAATGGTCTAAGAAAAGCCACTGTGGCCCCCAGCCTCGCCTCACCGAGATGACTCGCAGATTGGCATCCTCAGGCTGCAGTGGGTATGCGCTGGTGCACTGGAGGAAGCAGAAGTTGGGGTTCAGGGGCTTTACAATCTGATAGACTTGCTTCATGGTGTCCATTGACTGCATCCCGCTGGAGATCACCATCGGACGACCTGAGAAACCCAGTATTTTCAGTTTAGAGGTCACAGCCTCCTTTAAATCTATCCTCGCTAGTGGTCTCAGCTTCCAACTTAATCAGGAACATCTCTAGGTTGTGCCAGCCACACAGTGGGGGACAAGGTGAATGTAGTAGCTTCCAGCCCCTGGGCAAAGTGAGTCCCTGCCACCCCAACACTGTTCTTCTCCAAAGTTTCACATTCCTGAGAGACAAGCATCTCAGGGGACTGAGAGGCTGCACAGTATGCATTCCTTTGCCAGATCAAAAATCCAAAGTGCACTGGGCACAGGTGGCTCACGCCTGTAATCCTAGCTACTCAGGAAGGCTGAGATCTAAGGACTACATTTCTAAGCCAACCAGGACAGGAAAGTTCATGAGACTCTTCTCTCCAATTAATCACCAAAAAACTGGAAGTGGCGCTGTGGCTCCAAGTACTAGAGCGCTAGCCTTGAGCTAGAGTCAGGGGCAGAACCCAGGCCCAGAGTTCAAGCCCCACAACCACCACCACCAACAACAAAAAATCCAAAGTGAAGCTGAGTGCCAGTGACTCTCATTTACTCAGGAGGCTGAGATCTGAGGACCAAGGTTCCAAGTCAGCCTAGACAGGAAAGTCCTTGAGACTCCAATTAACTACCAAAAAGCCAGAAGTGGAACTGTGTCTCAAGTAGCAGAGCACCAAACTTAAGTCAAAAAGCGAAGGGGCAGTTCCCAGCCCCTAAGTTCAAGTCCCAGTACTGGTGCATGCGCGCACGTGCACACACCCCCACCCCCACCCCCACAGAATGGTCTAAAACCCAGGATATTTCTGATGAAAAGATGTCACATGGATAATCTAGGGAGGGAGCAGAGAGCATCATAACAGAGCCTGGGTTAAGAGGTCAGCTGAGATCACTCCTGCTGTGAAACCACCTCCCAAACTATCATGCACAGATGGTAGACAGAATACACCTTCAGGGGCTGGGGATGTGACTCAATGGTACCATGCTCTCCCAACATGCAAAAGAACCCAGGTTCCATCCTCAGCACGGCCTCAAAGCCAAAGAGGAGAAGAATATGCTGTCAAAAGAGGGTTCTAAAGTTTACTTCGTAAGAGCTACCTCAAAGCAGGGTGCCACTATGGAGGTAGAAGTGTGAGTGCTTCAATTTGCTCAGATTTTACAACAAACATGAGCCCCTTACTTCGTGTGTGTATATGTGTGTCACTAGAGATTGCAAGCTAAGCAAGTAAGTGCTCTACTACTTGAGCATGCCCCTGGCATGTTCTTTATTTAGTTTTAGTTAGCTTTAGTGATTTTGGGGATAGGGTTCAGTTATGTCCAAGCTGGCCTAGACCAAGACCATGACCATGTATCTCAGACATAGTTCCTATATAGCTGTGACAACAAACGCTCAGTTATTGTTAGAAATGGAGTCTCATGAACTTGTGTGTTTAGGCTGGCCTTGAACCATGAGCCACCCTATTTCTTCCTCCTGAGTAGCTGGAATTATAGGTATGAGCCACCATGTCCAGCTCATCTTTTTTTTTGAGACAAGCTCTTGCTAAATTTGCCCAGCTGTCCTCGAACTTAGGAGACAGACTGCTATAATTACAGGGGAGTGCGAGCACGCCTGGCTACGGAACTTACCTTTCTTGGCTGTCTTCTCTAGATATGGAAAATTGTTTGTGTCTCCAGATCCAACTTTGAAGAATGGAACGTTCAGTTCATGTAGAAACTCAACTGCCATCTGCAAAAATTGACAAGGAAGCTCTTTCTCACCATTGTGGAACTTGAAAGATTGGTTCTGTCATCTCATCACCTTCCAGCTGGCATTGCTAGCCCCTCCCCCCTTCTGTTCACCACACATCTAGTGCTGCCCTTGACAGGCTCCACTAATCTACAGAACAAACATACGCACATCTAAAATACAGCAGTGCAACACCTTGGTGCACTCAACACAAAGCTGGATTGGGCTGGGAAGGTGGCTCAGTGGTAGAGCACTTGCCTTACATGCCTGAGGCCCTGGGTTTGATTCCTCAGCACCACATAAGCAAAAAAGAAAAAGGCCAGAAGTGGCGCTGTGGCTCAAGTGGTAGAGTGCTAGCCTTGAGCTGAAGAGCTGAGCGACAGCACACAGGCCCAGAGTTCAGGCCCCACAACTGGACCCAAAAAATAAAATAAAATAAAAAACATAAAGCTGGATGCCGGTGGCTCACACTGATGATCCTCGCTACTCAGGAGGCTGAGATCTAAGGGTTGAGATTCAAAACCAGACAAGGCAGGAAAGTCCATGAGACTCTATCTCCAATTAATTACCAATAACCTGGAAGTGGAGGGTGTGGCTCAAGTGGTGGAGCACTACCTTTGGAGGAAAAAGCTAAGAGAAAACAAACTAGGCTTTCACACAATGAGAGGAAACCAGAACCGGCTCTGTAAAGGAATGAGCACTTTTAGGAGGGGACTGAGCTAGAATGGAAGGCATCAATGAAGATGAATATGGTAGAGAGTTGTTTATTTGCACAGATGAAAATAAAACAACGAAACCTGCTGAAACTGTTTTAAGGGAGGGGTGAGTAGCAGTGTTGGGGCGTGTGTGTGAGATTCATCGGATGCATTTTACCTATATGGAAATGTCACAGCAAACCCTCTACTTATACAACTAAGGCATGGTAATTTAAAAAACAACAACAGATAAAATAACTCATTAGGCTTAAGAAAAAAATAAATCTGGGGAAGACGAGCGTGCCCCCGGCCAGATCCTTCCTTCCCTGTGCAAAGGTCCTGACCTAATCTTTTTTGTGTTTTATATGCCAGTCCTGGGGCTTGAACTAACATGTGCTCTCTGTCTCTCATTCTCTCTCTGTCTCTGTCTGTCTGTCTGTCTCTCTCTCTCACACACACACACACAATACAACACAACAAAACAAACAAACAAACAAAAAAACAAGCCAAGTGCTGGTGGCTTATGTCACTGTGTGAACCAGGAAGGAAGGAAAAAAGGAAGAAAGGAAGGAGAGATAAAGAAAAAATAAGGAAAAAAGAAGAGAGAGAGAGAGAGAGAGAAAGAAAGAAAGAAAGAAAGAGAAAGAAAGGAAAAGAAAGAAAGAGAGAGAAAGAAAGAGAAAGGAGGACGCTCAATATAAGTTTAGCAGCCAGGCATTGGTGACTCATGCCTGTAATCCTAGCTACTCAGGAGGCTGAAATCTGAGGATCACGGTTCAAAGCCAGCCAGATCAGGAAAGTCCATGACTCTCATCTCCAATTAACCACCAGAAAACCAGAAGTGGTGCGGTGGCTCAAAGTAGTAGAGCACTACCCTTGTGCAAAAGAGCGCAGGAACAGCGTCCAGGCCCTGAGTTCAAGCTCCAAATGCGAAAGAAAAAAAATTTACCTACGGGGATGGGGAACTTTCATGAAATTTTATTTTCCTGCTGGGAAGGGAGGGGAACTACCACCACCTAGTGGCAACTTAGAAAACTGCCAGTTTGGATTCCTGGCCCTGGAAAGGGTGGCAACTTCAGTTAATGCAGCTATAGTCCGGAGATAGCATGGAGCCTCCCTCCACAGGCTAAAGTCAGAGCTGGTGGTCCCTTTCTCTCAGTGGGCTCCTTGGCTTCCTTAGCCTGCTTTCACTGCTGGCAGATCCCTTCAGGACTTCCTCCTTTCATCTGAAAGTGACTCAGGCACAGTGCACACAAAGGGGCTGGGTTTAGTGCATAGAAGAGGGCTCCCCCAACAGGCAGGTCTGGGGAAAGCGCCTCACTATCATGGATCCTTAAAGGAGAGAGAGAGAGAGAGAGAGAGAGAGAGAGAGAGAGACAGGAGAGAAAGGAGAGAGGAGAGGAGAGGAGAGGTGAGAGGAGAGAAGAGAAGAGAAGGGAAGGGAAGGGAAGAGAAGAGAAGAGAGAGAAGAGAAGAGAAACTGGCAGGAGGGCAGCTCTGCTAAGGTGGTCACTGCTGTAAGCTAAAGGTGTCCTCTGGGGTACTGCTTGCTAAGTTCACACTTGCTAAGGTCATGCTCTCCACCTGCTTCTTCCACAGACCTGCCCCTTTACTACTGCTGTCAGTGCTCAGGTGCCCTGGAAGTTTTCTTGGCCTTAATAAAATCTGGCCACACCTCCACCTTCCCTTAGCCCTCAGAGAACACCCTAGAACAGCATATGCATTGTGGAAACTAGCTGCCTGCTGGCTATGAGGAAGTCCACATGGGCAAACATTTGGCACTAACTGCTCAGCCAACACGGAACAAGAGACCAGCCCTGGCCAACGTCTCCAAGGGCTACGTGACAGGAAATGCCAGCTCAGCTCAGCAACCAGTGTCAATGAATGCTTTTCAAAAGGGTTGCTTTTAAAGTTTTTCTGTGTATTTAATCTTGATTAGCTTATTTTGCATTTTTTTTATTCACAAAAAAAGTTTTTCAGTATCTGCTTTCCCTCTGTGGTTCATGAAGGCTCCAGAGTAGCTAGGATTGCAGGTATAAGCCACCAGCACTTGGCGCACTTGGCTCAGAAATATTTTTTAAATAAGGCTTGTCCAGATGCCCCACAATAGATGAGTGGATGCAAAAAATGTGGTACCTATACAAAATGGAATTTTACATAGCCATCAGGAAGAATAAGTTTCTGTCATTTGCAGGGAAATGGATGGACCTAGCACAAATCATTTTAAATGAGATGAGCCATGCTTAGAGCCATAAATGGCACATTTTTCTCTCATTTGAGGAAGTGAGATCTAAAATCCATGGGACATGATAAATTATACAGGACTCTATTTATACAAAGTGAGACCAAAGAGGATATTCTTTTTTTTTTTTTTTTGGTCGGTCGTGGGGCATGAACTCTGGGCCTGGGCACTGTCCCTCATCACTTCAGCGCAAGGCTAGCGCTCTACCACTTGAGTCACAGCAGCCACATCTGACTTTTTCTGTTTATGTGGTGCTGAAGAACCAAACCCAGGGCCTCATGCATGCAAGGCAAGTCCTCTACCACTGAGCCACCTTCCCAGCCCCCTAAAAGAGGATATACTTAGGAGAGAAACACATAGGCACAATGCCTATGTGCATCTGATTAATAAAATAATATTTATCGAAATGAACTCCAGAAAATGGAAACAAGAAAAAAAAAGGCTTGTATCTATTCATATTGACTGGTTAAAAATTAAAACCACAATTTTGTGGAAGGGTAATGTTTTTGTTTTCAGATAACTATAGATTTGCATGCAGCTATAAGAAATGCCATCACTGCAAGAATCCCCCATGATGCTCCTGGCCAACCATACTCCTTTCTCCCTTTAACCTGTGCCAGCCACTTGCCTCCTCTCCACCTGCACAACTAGGAGATGTCCACAGTACCACATACACAGAAGCCGGCAGTAAGCCAGTCTGAGAGTGGCTTTTGCACTCGGCCTACCTTCCCTGAGGGACATCACACTGTCAGGTGCAAGTAGTTCTTTTTTTTTTTTTTAAAGGTAAACAGAGTAAGTTTACTTAAAACTGAGAAGAAAGCTGTGAAAGGAAACTAGAGACTCTCCTTCCGGAGAGGCCCAAAGAGGGCTTTTTGGTATTTTTCACTTGTCGAGGGCAGGGCTGTGTGTGTGTGTGTGCCAGTCCTGGGGCTAAACTCAGGGTCTGGGCCTTGTCCCTGAATTTCTTTTGCTAACGGCTAATGCTCTCCCACTTGGGTCACAGCTCCACTTCTAGTTTTTTGTGTTTTTTTTTGGTGGTTTACTGGATAGTAAGAGTCTTGTGGACTTTCTTGCCTCAGCTGGCTTCAAACCATGATCCTCATATCTCAGCCTCCTGAGTAGCTAGATTACAGACATGAGCCACCAGCATGGCTTGCTCTCTCTCTCTCCCTCTCTCTTTCAATGAAGGTATTGTGGCTTGAACTCAGGGCTTTGTATTCTTGTTAAGCCTTTTTGGGCTCAAGGCTGGCACTCTCCCACTTGAGTGACACCTCCAGTTCAGACTTTGTTAGTTTACCAAAAATGAGTCTCGTGGATTTGTCTGTCCAGGCTGGCTTTAAGCCATAATCCTTGGATCTCAGCCTCCTGAGTGAGTAGCTAGGATTACAGATATGAGCCAATGATACCTGGTTTCCAACCCTCTTTTTTGCTAACTATTTTGAGGAGAAAGAGTCTAGTAAAATTTTCTGCTCACGCTGGCTTCAATCTACAACCCTCCATATCTCAGCTTCCTGAGTAGCTAACGTTACAGATATAAGTTAATGGCATCCACAAAAACTACCATTTTAGCCAGGCGCTGGTGGCTCACACCTGTAATCCTAGCTACTCAGGAGGCTGAGATCTGAGGATCACGGTTCAAAGCCAGCCCGGGCAGGAGAGACCGTGAGACTCCACCAGAAGCTGAGTGCTGGTGGCTCACGCCTGTAATCCTAGCTACTCAGGAGGCTGAGATCTGAGGATCACGGTTCAAAGCCAGCCCGGGCAGGAGAGACCGTGAGACTCCTATCTCCAATAAACCACCAGAAAACCAGAGTGGCGCTGTGGCTCAAGTGGTAGAGCACTCGCCTTGAGCTGAAGAGCTGAGGGACAGCGCCCAGGCCCAGAGTTCAAGCCCCACAACCAACCAAAAAAAAAAACTACCATTTTAAATGAGTGAATTATGTCTCAAAACAGCTGTTCTAAAAAGAAACTGGCCAGACACTAATGGCCCATGCCTGTAACCTTAGCTACTCAGCAGGTTGAGATCTGAGGATCTGGCTTCCTGGTTCAAAGCCAGCCTGGGCAGAAAAGAGCATGAAGATTCCTATCTCAAATTAGCAACCCTCACCTCCCTCCCCAAAAAAGGAAGAGGATCTGTGGCTCAGTGGTAGAGTGCTGGCTTTGAGCAAAAAAGCAAAGGGACAGCACCTAGGCCCTGAGTTCAAGCCTTACCAGCACACTAGCGCAAAGAGAAAAAGAGAGAGAAAGAGAGAGGAGAGCAGATAGAAAAGAAAGGAAGGAAAGAAGGGAAATGGAAAGGGAAAGGAAAGAAAAGGAAAAAAAGAAAAGAAAAGAAACCAACTGGAACTGATTCAGTCAAATGGTAGCATGCTTCCCTACGAGTTGTGAGGGTCTGAGTTCAATCCCTAGCACAGCCAACCCAGGAAGAAAAGACCATTAGACTATCTCTAATTAACCAGCAAAAAGCTGAAAGTGGAAGTGTGGCTTGAGTGGTAGAATGCTAGCCTTAAGCAAAAAGGTCAAGAGTGAGAAGTCCTCAGTTCAAGCCCAGTTCCAGAATTTAAAAAAAGAAAAAGAACTTGAAAACAAACCAGATATGATACACATCTATACTCCTAGCTACCAGGAAACTGAGGCAGGAGGATCAAAAATTTAAGGGCAGCCCAGTGCCAGTAGCTCACGCCTGTAATTCTAGCTACTCAGGAGGCTGAGACCTGTGGATCACGGTTCAAAGCCAGCCCGGGCAGGAAAGTCCATGAGACTCTTATCTCCAATAAACCGCTCAGAAAACTGGAAGTGGTGCAGTGGCTCAAGTGGTAGAGTGATAGCCTTGAGCTGAAGAGCTTTGGGACAGTGTTCAGGCCCAGAGTTCAGGCCCTATGAACGACCAAAAAAATAAAATAAAAAAAAAAGCACAGCCTAGGCAAATTATCAAGATCCTGTCTATCCCGAAAGTTTTCCAAAAGGCTGAGAATGGTAGTTCAGTTGCCTCTCATGTGCAAGGCCCTGGGCTCAACTCCAGGACTGCAAAAATAAGAAAATAACTGTTATATATAAAAGTAGGGAAGCAAAATAATTAGGTGTGTTATAGTACTACTTTCCTATTAAAATCTTTACAGTGGATGTAAAAGCTTGTAGTATAGCATTAACCAGAAAAACTCATGCATAAAGCTAAATGTTACAAGCCACACAAATACTGCCACCAAGCCATAAAGCATATGAATTTAGGAGGGAACTGATCAGAAGAGATGACAGATAGGGATCACAAGTCAGATTTCCCACGCTTTCCTGTGTTCTAAACTTTCTGTACTAGGAAATGATTTCTCCAAGTAAAACTGTTGCCACTGAGAAAAGAGACAAGCTGAGAGTATGCTGGCAGACAAGTCACACTACAGAAGGGCCCTGACACCTGGCAGGAGCTGGATTCTTCCAGGATGTCAGCCCAGCCAGCACACCCATAACCACCTGGAGCCACGCCCTTCTGGATGAGGTCAAAGCCAGCCCATCCAAAGCCATTGGAACTCTCTGCAAGGTGCCCTGGCTTCCAACAGACCCCTGTCCCCTGGGAGAGCTTGACCCACAAGGTAAAGGGACGGTAAAGTGTCCATTGAGGCTGTCTCTACATCTCAAAGCAACTTTTGTGGGGTTGTTTGTTTTGTGTAATGCTGGGGCTTGATCACTGTCTCTTAACTTTTCTGCTCAAGGCTGATGTTCTAACCACTTTTTTTTTTTGTTTTTGGTCATGGGGCTTGAATTCTGGGCCTGTATACTGTCCCTCAGCTCTTCAGCTCAAGGCTAGTGCTCTACCACTTGAGCCACAGTGCCACTTCCAGCTTTTTCTGTTTATGTGGTGCTGAGGAATCGAACCCAGGGCCTCATGCATTTAAGACAAGCACTCTACCACCGAGCCATCTTCTCAGCCCTATTCTAACCACTTGAGCCACAGCTCCATTGCCAGCTTTTTGCTGGTTAAGTGAAAGTAAGAGTCTTATGGACTTTCCTGCTCAGGCTGGCTTGGAACCTTGATCCTCAGATCACAGCATCCTGAGAAGCTACGATGACAGGCTTAAGCCCACTGCGCCCAGTGACAACTTTGGTTTTTAAAACCCCGGTACTTTCTCACAAACATCACTAGGCTTGGCACCTGCTGACTTAGCTGAGCACAGAAAAGGTAAGCAAGAGCTACAGCTGGCTCTAAGACAAAAGCTACCAACTTCCCGCTGCCCGCTGGGTCTGTTAACATGGCAAATGAATGGCCGAGGACTCACCTCGTCCATGCCAGAGGCAGTGAAGAAAATGCCGATCTCCTGGGCATATTGCTGCAGCTCCTTGTACTGGGCATGGCTGAATTCTAGGTGCCGTTTGTGCTCTCCATATGTCTTTCCCCAGGAGTGTTTTGAAGTGTACGGCCTCTGTAGAGCCTTCCGGTTAAACTTGAATTCCAGCTCACTCTTCTGGAACTTGGCACAATCAGCCCCACACTCCTGCAAAACAACAGGATGCCTTTCAGTGACCAGTTGCATTCTCAGAAAGAGCAGAAACTCTAGGACAACTAGATTACAGCAATGCATCTAAAGATGAGGTGGACGGACAGATTTTAAGAACCTGCAAAGAAAATGAGAGGGAAGAAAAGTCTGGAAGAGAAAAAAATATCAACGGGAGATGGGAGACCCTCCCCTCCTTTTCTCTCTTTAAAAACAAACAAGAAAAAAGGGTAAACAAATGCAACAATGGTACACACTAAACCTATATTGAAAATGAACTATAAAACTTGTGAGTGGGGATGGAAGGGAAAAACTGGAAGAGAGTGAGGGAAGGGGTGACACTGTCCAAAAAGAAATGTACTCTTTACCTGACTTATATAACTGTAACCCTTCTGTACATCACCTTTATAATAACAACAAACAAATTAAAAAAACAAGAAAGTTTTGTATCATAATATGTAAAACCTATTTCGTGTGACACATACCTGGAATCCCAGTCAGTAATCCCAGCACTGGGAAAGCTGAGGTAAGAATATAGTGAATTTGAGATCAGCCCAGGTTACACAGAAAGACCCTGCCTCAAAAAAATTAAAATTAAAAAATTAAAAAGGAAAGAAGGGTAAAGGAAGAAAGAACATGCCCTCCTCTATATTAAAACAAAACAAAACATAACAAAGAAATAAATAAAAAACAACAACAAAAACCTGGACGTAGTGGTACATAGCTATAGTTCCAGCCTACATACAATTCCCGGTTCAAGAGGATGTCAAGTTCAAGTACAGCCCGGGAAACTTATTGAAAACCTGTCTCCATACAGAATTCATAAAGGGCTGGGTCATATCTCAGTGGCAGACCCCACACCAGACCCTGAGTTCAGTCCCCAGTACCACCGCCCACCTCCCCACCCCCACAAAGACACTGCAGCAAACAAATCAGGCTGAGAAGAAAAAGCCACTTGTCAAAAGATTTATTCATGCCGGGTGCTGGTGGCTCACACCTGTAATCCTTGCTACTCAGGAGGCTGAGATCTGAGGATCGAGGTTCAAAACCAGCCCTGGCAGGAAAGTCCGTGAAACTCTTATCTCCAATAAACCACTACAAAACCAGAAGTGGCGCTGTAGCTCAAGTGGTAGAGTGCTGGCCTTGAGCTGGAGCTGAGGGACAGCGCTCAGGCCCAGAGTTCAAGCCCCACAACCGACAAAAAAAATAAATAAAATAAAATAATTCACTAGTAAATGTGTATTGACTCCAGTCTAGGACTCTGTACTACAATACAGCCTGAATCCCAGCACTCCCTCACCACCTTCCAAGTCTAAGACAGTATAAGAGAAACCACAAACGCTACGCTTCCTCAGCTTCTTTAGCTATTTTGCAACCTCAGCATGAAAACATGGTCACACCTTGACAAAACAGACTGCTCCTTTAAATTAAAAGCAGGAATTTCCCCCTAGAAAACTTTACAATAACCAAAAAAAAAAAAAAGAAAGAAAACTTTACAATACAAAGGCTACAATCCAGTGGTGAATAGTAAAGATTTCTTAAAGCCATTATTGACCAGCAGTATACAGTAGGCAAGTCACCTCTCAGTGCCTTGAAAATAAAATCAGCACCTTCCTGCCTTTAAGTGTTGCAAGAATTACATGAATGGATGTTGGTGGCTCATGCCTGTAATCCTAGCTCCTCAAGAAGCTGAGATCTGAGGATCACGGTTCAAAGCCAGCCAGGGCAGGAAAGTCCATGAGATCCTTATCTCCAATAAACCACCAGAAGCTGAGTGCTGGTGGCTCACGCCTGTAATCCTAGCTACTCAGGAGGCTGAGATCTGAGGATCGCGGTTCAAAGCCAGCCCGGGCAGGAGAGACCGTCCAATAAACCACCAGAAAACCGGAAGTGGCGCTGTAGCTCAAGTGGTAGAGCACTCGCCTTGAGCTGAAGAGCTGAGGGACAGCGCCCAGGCCCAGAGTTCAAGCCCCACGACTGACAAAAAAATAAAAATAAATAAATAAATAAACCACCAGAAAATTGGAAGTGGCACTGTGGTTCAAGTGGTAGAGCACTAGCCTTGAGCTGAAGAACAGTGTCCAGGCCCAGAGTTCAAGCCCCACGATCCACCAAAAAAAAAAAAAAACTACATGAGTGGGTGTATTACATGAGCCCAGTGTCTCAAAATAAGAGTCCAAAAATTGTTGGCAATTTAATTGTTAGAAATGGATAGTTTACAATTTATTGGTTAAGTGTCTATTAAAAAACACACAATTAGTTCTGAAAGAAGGAAAACTAATCATAAATTATCTGAAATCAGGTGAACAGCACTGATGAAAGGAAAGATGACAAGAACTATCTCTAACCTCTTGCAGGAGGCTGGGGCCCGCATTGACAGTCTCTCTCTTCATAACAAAGAAAAGGCTTCACAGTAACCACAAGAACAGGATACAGGCTGGAAAAAGCATCCAGGTCCGGGATGCTTGTAATCCTAGCAACTCAGGAGCCTGAGATCTGAAGATGGCAGTTCGAAGCCAGTCTGGGCAGGAAAGACCATGAGACTCTTATCTCAATTAACCAACCTAAAAACTGGAAATGGAGCATCCGAGGGGTCCCGAAAATGAGTGGAACCTTACCAACTTTACTCACAAACAAGAGCTGACATTTATGGATCAAGCACGGTACCTGAGCGCCCCACGGGGCTGAGCTCTCTCACTAGATACTCAAAACGGTTCTGTGTAGTCAGTACGATGATCTAGCAGCCCGATTCTCGAGTGAGGAAACTGAGGCTAACAGAGGTTGTTAAACAACCGGGAGGACTTAAACCCGCGACCTAACTTCGAACCGGTTCCAGTTCCGAACGCGCCGGGGCGGGCAAGCGCCCGGGGCAGGAAGTTCCAGGGGCTGCCAGTCACTGCCGCGCGGGTGGTCAGAGAAGAGCCAGGACCGGCGGGAAGGGGCCTGGTCACCTAGATCTGGATGGCCACGCGGGGGTCACACGTGGCCGGGTGTGCGTGCTGGAGCGTGACCGAGCCGCAGACCAGTCAGCAGGCGGGCGCGCAGGGTGCTGGGCGCGGGCGCACGCGGGACCCCGGGGGAGGCCGGCCCCGGCGGCCACGCCCTCCCGCGGCCCTCCCTGCGGGCTCGTCCCCTCACCTTGGCCGTGCGGATCATGCGCTTGGCCACGTCCAGGTCGCCCTGATGGTTCTGGCCGATCTCGGCAATGATGAAGCATGGGTGCTGCCCTCCCACCCAGCGCCCGGGGCACAGCTCCAGCTCCAGCGGCATCGCCCCGGCTCGCACGCCCGCGCCTCACTCCAGGATCCCTACGTCTGTCGCGGGCACAGCCCAGCAGGTCCACTGGCCGGCCCGGCCACGTCAGCCCCCGCGGCCCCTAGCGCAGCCAATCCTTGGGCCCCGCCTCGTTCCCGACAGCCAATTGGGATCGGTCATGCGTGAGGGCGGGGCCTCGCGCGAGAAGGGCGGGCGGAGGGAGGTGCGTCCGCGCGAGCGCGGGGCGTGGGGCTGTCTGGCGGGAAGCGCAGGCGCCGGACGGTCTCCCCGTGCTCCTGAAGGTTCCCGAAGGAGACACCTGTCCCCTCCGCAGTGTGGGAGCCTGGGGACAGCGCGCCCTACGATGTAGTGGGGAAAACGAGAGACTCTGGAGTTCCTGATCGTTGTGTTCCTTTTCCTCCGAAGCAAGAAGATAATACCCAGCCGGGCGCCGGTGGCTCCCGCCTGTGATCCTAGCTACTCGGGAAGCTGAGATCTGAGGATCGCGCGGTTCGAAGCCAGCCGGGGCAGGAAAAGGTCTGTGAGCCTTTTATCTCCAGTTAGCCACAAACAAGTTGAAGTAGAGCTGTAGCTCAAGTGGTAGTGCAGCAGCCTTGAGCAACAAAGCTCAGGGACAGTGCCCAAGCCCTGTGTTCAAGCCCCAGCATCGGCACACACGCAGTGTGTGTGGGAGAAGGGGGGGGGTGAGGAGGGGCGATTCATTCCTGTTACTGGCAGGACCCGGGCTAGAGAGGTCCTTATTTTGGAGAAACCACAGTACCCAGACGCCATGAGATCTTGGGCTTGAGGTTTAAGATGGAAAACTCAGAGACCCAGGACCACCCAGACTATGCCCAATTTCGAAACTGGCCCTGATAAAGCTTCCTCCTATTAGGACTCCTGCCTAGTGTTTTGACATAGTGTGGCCCAGCTACCCAGAACTACATTGAGTCCCCCTTAATAGGTCATGTTCTGCTACCTCCAGGCCTTGGCAAAGTGTGGGTGCCACTTCCCGTTCCTCCAGCTCCCGGCACAGCCTTGCCTGGCCGTCTTCTGCACATTCTTCAGCATGGCAATCCCTTCCATTCATTCTTTGATCTCCCCAGTTTCTCTTGAAGGATTTTAAGCCTATGTCACCCACACCTTCTCTGCCTCCACTTCCCCAAATGGACCTCAGTGGCACATCCAGAAACTCATTCCTGAGTGGCTGCTTGTGTGCCTGGCACTGCATCAGACACTGCAAATGGCACAGGGAGCAAGGGGCCACAGGCCTTTTCCTGTGAACAGTAGAATAGAGTAAAAGTTGTTTATATAAATGCATAAGCTACATGAACGCATAAATGCATGACCATGCATTATAACAAGGACAATGAAAACACAAACAGCACACAGTGTTGTGTGAGAAGCTAGTACAAGAGGGTGATTGGATGGATGCTCAGAAAGTTGACATTTAATCTGAGACCTCCACCCCACTCCAATTTCTTTTCAAAAGGTAGTATCTTGTCACTGGATTCCCTCCCCCCACCCCCTCAAGATACTGAAACAGCAATGTCCTGAAAAAGAACAAGCTCTGGGATAGGTCAGGCCTAGATTCACTTCCCAGCTGAGGAACTAACTCAACTTCCTCTTGAGAGAAATCACTTCAGTGACCACCAGAGGGCAGTAGCGAGAAAAGAGTGTGCAGGCCTCAAAGTCCAAACCTGTCCAACACTGGAGAGCGGCTCCAAGCTACAAGGCCTGTTTCCTGTTGCCTAGGGCCTGGCATCATCTTCCTACTCCCAGACTTTGCACTCACAGTTAATGCCTGTCCCTGGTCTGATCCTCCCTGTGGCCCAGTTAGGACAGTGAGTCTATGATTTGTCTCTACCCCTTCTTCAGAATCCCTAAAGCTTTAGCAACTTCCTGTCTTCTGTCCTTATGCTGTCCTAGGGAAATGTGGACATTCACAGGGCTTCAGGAATAGCACATTTATGGCTTCTGCCACCGGCCGCCCAAAGCTGCTCAGTTCTCTTCCCTTCTCCTTCCCTCTTTTCTCTCATACCATTTTGTTTTTGTTTTGAGATGGGGTCTTAGGCTCATGTGAAACTTGTCCCCTGTGCTGGGACTATAGCCACCACATCTAGCTTCCCATCTCTTGGATTTTAACTCTAGTAACATCCTAATAAACGACCAGGAATCCTCAGTGTGTGTGTGTGTGTGTGTGTGTATTGATATGCACTTCCCTCCATCCCTGCCCTATCCTTAACTCCTGGTGACCATTACTACATCATTTCAGCATGGTTTTATAGATGCAGCTCTACAGAATGTAACCTATAATGGGCTTTTCCATACAGCATAATTATCTAGGGAATCCATCCAGGTTTCTTCATGTATCAAAGTGTGTTCCACTTCATTACTGAGTAGCATTCCATACTATGGAAACAGTACTGCTTCTCTCTCTCTCTTTTTTTTTTCCTTTGCCAGTCCTGGAGCTTTAACTCAGGGCCTTTTCAACCTTTGGTTCTTCCACTTGGGGGCCTCCTTCTCAGCAGAGCAAGCTTCTGGCCCTGTAGCAGCTGCTGGATCCTCAGCGACTGACTGGTCATGGAGCTGGGAAGCAGAGGCCAAGGCCAGTGGGCCTGAATCCATGGGATGGCTGCTCAGGTCCTTTAGTGTAATTTTTCTATCTTTTTCTGCTATTCCTTCCTTCCTTCTTCCCTCCCTCCTCTCTCTTCCTTGATTTTTCTTTCTTTCTTGTGCCTGCCCTGTGGAGTGAACCCAGGGGATAGGTGCTGTCCCTGAGCATTTTTGCCTCTGGTAGCTAATTGGAGATAAGAGTTCCATGAAATTTCCTGCCAGGCTGGCTTTGAACTGTGATCCTCAGATCTCAGCCTGAGTAGCTAGGATTACAGGTGTGAGCCACCAGCACCAGACAGTAACTTAAAAAAAAATTACAAAGGTGATGTACAAAGAGGCTACAGTTGCATAAATCAAGTAAAGAGTACATTTCTTTTTGGATAGTCTCACCCCTTTGCTCAATCTCTCCCAGTTCACTTCTGGCTATTTTGCTGGTTACTTGGAGATACAGTTCATGGACTTTCCTGCCCTGGCTGGCTTTGAATCATAATCCTCCGATCTCAGCCTTCTGAGTAGCTAGGATTATAGGTGTGAGACTTTGGCACCTGGCTGAGATCTACCTTGTGCATGTGAGAGTTTCTGGGGGTCTGGCTTATTTTGTTTAACATGACTGTCTCTAGTTACATCCATTTTCATGCAAATAACAATTTTATTCTTTATGACTAAATAATATTCAATAGTGCAGATGTGTACACATACATTTATTTTCTTTATCCATCTGTTCATGTGTACTTAGGTTGCCTCACAGCTTGGCAATGTGACTAGCATGCTGTAGCATGGGTATGCAGGTGTCTCTATTGTGGGACCACAGCTGACTTAACTGTCACCCTGTTGAAGTACATCTGGCGGTTTCTAGTCAGGAGCTGTTATGACTAAAGCAACTTGAAACACTTGTGCACATACTTTGCATGTGAAGATAAGTTTTCCTTTCCCTGAAATAATGATCAGAGACAATATCTGCAATAGTTACATATTTAGTTTTATAAGAAACTGTTAGGCTGGTGCTGGTGGCTCACGCCTGTAATCCTAGCTACTCAGGAGGCTGAGATCTGGGGATCATGGTTCAAAGCCAGCCTGGGCAGGAAAAGTACTAGCCTTGAGTTGAAGAGCTGAGGGACAGCGCCCAGGCCCAGAGTTCAAGCCCCACAACTGACAAAAAAAAAGAAAAGAAAAGAAAAGAAAAGAAACTGTTGGCCAGGCACTGGTGGTTCACAGGACTGTAATTCTAGCTACTCAGAAAGGCTGAGATTTGAGGATTGAGGTTCAGAGCCAGTCCTGGCAGGAAAACCTGTGAGACTCCTATCTCCAACTAACCACCAGAAAAATGGAAGTGGAGCTATGGAATAAGTGGTAGAACTTAGCCTTGAGCAAAAAAGCTCAGGGACAGAGCCCAGGCCCTGAGTTCAAGCCCCATGACAAGGAGGAGAAGAGAAGAGGAAACAACTATTGGAGCCTCTAATTATTGGGCTGGGAATGTGGCTTAGTGGTAGAGTGCTTGCCTAGCATGCATAAAGCTCTGGGTTCAAAAACTCAGTATCATATAAATGGAAAAAGCCAGAAATGGCACTGTGGCTCAAGTGGTAGAGTACTAACCTTGAGCAAAAGAAGCTCAGGACAGTGCTCAGGCCCTCAGTTCAAGCCCCAGGACTGGCAAAAAAATAATAATAAAATAAATTATTGCTGAAACTTCAAAACAAAGGGGTGGAAGGTAGGGAGATGAAGGAAGAAAAGCAAAGAAAGTAGAAGGGAAAGGAAGAAAACAAGGAGGGGGAGGGGAGAAGGGAAAGAGAAGGGAAGAGAAAAGAAGGAAGCAGAAGAGAAGGAAGGAGATGGGAAGGAAAGGGAAGGAAGAGAAAGGGCAGGCCTTGGAGCAGAACAAGGGGTGTGGGAGACATCTCAGCCCTGGCACAGGGCACAGACAGGAAGTTTCAGTGCAATCAGTCCAGTGGCTGTGGCCGATTGGTGCTAGCATCAAGGAGGTTGGGAGCCAAGGCTGTTTCGGTATGAACAACATGACTAAAGGGGCAGGGTACTCCTGAAGGACACTATCTATTGACTTCACCATTTAAACACGTGTGTGTGCACACACACACATATGCATGATGGCCATCTATAGGCCAAGAGCCTAAAACAATCCTCAGAGGAGCTAGTCCTGTCCACACCTTGATTTCAGACTTCCAGCCTCCAGAGCTGCTGATCAATCTCTGTGGTAACTTCCACTGTGCAGTACTTCATTGGTCCCAGGAAACTAACTGCCCTACTACCCTGGTTCGAGGAAAGGCTGTAAGCACCACTGTGCAAAGCCCAGAGGGACAAGGCAGGTGCATGACCTAGAGGTCTCACTGGCGCGGAGTTAAGCTGGAACAGCTACTCCAGATCCATGAGGGTGCCTGGACATAGTGAGGACCTGTGCAAGGTCCTCTTTGCCCCCACTTTGCCTACAAGGCTAATGCCCTTGTTCTGGTTCTTACACATGAGGAGGGATGTTTGCTTGTGCTT